TCCTTTGAGTCACACGTCCTTAATTTTTCATGGAAGGTGGAGAATATGCATACAAAACTATGGTTATCAAATGTGGAATTCCTTTTTATTTGGTTCGTGATTTGTAAAGTATATGTGTGTCTTTGGCGTGTTTATATAGTTTACATGATAAGTTTTAGTTTTTGATTTTTGGGTTTCTAATTCTTTTGGACAATTCGGTCATCATTTTTGGGTTTGTGATTGGTTTAAGTGTGTAGAATTTATTATTATTGTCTTAAAGTAAATGATACCATAGGCCTACATATGACCACCATGAAGACATGCCAACAAAGTCTTTGTATGTGGGTTTATTAAGGAAAAACTACCAAATGATGAAAACTTGAGCTATTTAAACCGTCTCATACAGATCTTTTGGATGCCTTAATTCCACCTTCCCATCTAAGTTACCATAGTTACTCTTTGACTTTTTATAATATGTAAAATGCCACAATAAATACTAAAAAATATATATGCCCACATCCTTTCACCCATAGCCACCACGTGCTGACGTGCAGGCGACTTTCCTAAGCAAATCTTTACTTTATGTTTATTACTTTATTTGTGTTTTGTAATTGTGGTTTTGAAAGAGAGAGTGATTAAGTTTGGAGAAGACGTATTGAATAAACAACAAGTGTTTTGTAATTGTGGTTCTGAAAAATAAGCATTTATGGGCATGGTTTGTTTGTAAATTATTATAAACTGCAATAAAGGTTATTTATTTTTAAGTTATAAATTTTACAAACACTATTGTGTATCTTGTACATATGGTGTTATTTATGGAACGTCAAATATAAGTGTAAATGTATGTCTTTTTTTTTTTATTGTTCATCTGGCTCAACATTTTTAAAATACATAAATGTATATCCTTTTTGTTTCTACATTAGTTAATTATATGTTTATAACAGTAGGTTGCCTTGGTTTATACTTAATTATATATCAATTTTTTTTGTGTTAAATGTTATAGGGGTTAACAAATAAGAAACACAAACCGGTTAATGAATTACTAATTGTGGTGAAATTAAACTTCCATATTGTTTTACACAATTAATTTCTCATTCTCCATTTCAATTTAATTACATAGATCAAACATGTTTTTGTAATTAAAATATTGATGAAATTGGCTTTTTGACAACTTTATTTGTTTGAGTATTTTTTTATAAAAAAAATTACATTATTTATATTTATAAAGAATGAATCCAAAAAATTTGTTACTTGAATGACAACATAATCGGTGCTGCTTATGATCAAGTCCATTGTCAGTAAGGGCTGAAGATCAATAGATTTCAAGTTTTGAAGAAATAGAGATATTCGAGTTTTTTTAACCATACTGGTGTTATTTTAGATCAAATGTTTTACTAAGAGACAACAAAAGGGTAGAAAAGGCATGTAATGTCAGCATCTTCCCAACAACCTATTTATAAATTAAAAACATATTTCAACACACATGATGAAATGTAAGAAATATGTTATGTGGTGATGTAACATATATCAGTTTATTTATATCAAACACGTAACCAACATCTATCCATTTCACAGATACTACACAAAAAACACCACGTCCCAAACGAATGAAATACAAAAACCACGGCCAAGCGAGCGAAGGAACAAACACCAAAAAGCAGTAAAACTATTTGATCGTTTCAGAACATACATAGACCTAAACTGCACTCACTTTGTTGTATCACTTTTCGTCCAATTATATATAATACAAACTACATTCAACACATTATCTTTATTAACAACAATCTGTAAATATTTCAGTAAAACTCTATCATTTTGGGAGGAACATATACAAAACAGTTATTGTCATCTTTTGTTGTATATATGAATTTGTTTGATATCAAATAATATTTACTTTTCAATATGTTGTTTTTAGTGTGTTTACTTTTCATGAACTTTATAAAAGAACCATTATCGTCGGTGGAAGCAGTTACTATATATTTAATAACAAAAAAATAATTGAATGCATTTACAATTTACGAAATGGTGGCAAAAAATATATAATTAACGTGACCCGTGGTTCCCCACGGGTTAACACACTAGTTTATATTATTTGTTATTTCCTGTTAAAACATAAAAAAAAATTATTTTTTCATTAATTTGGGTAAAATGTTAAATAATCCAGACTGTACTATTAAAAAAAACTTTTAAGAGTATATTAAATTTTATTTCTAACAGCTGTTCACATGTATTTCATTTATTTATTTTAATTAAAAATCAAAATAATTATTTTATTTATATCTTATAATCAAGGAAACTTGGTTTGAAGAATCAACACTTAAAAAAAAATAAAAAATCATGAATACATAGAGCAAGCACAACTCAAAACAAACTATATACTTGTTTTCCTTCAACACTAGGACAAAAGCTATATTATATGTTTGCACCATTGATGAAGCAATAAGGCAAAATAAATATGTAGCTGTTTGCGATTGAAATCCAACAATGTTTATCGATGTTCCCAAATCATTTCCAAAATCAACCTATCTTTTGTGCCTATGTGTTGATAATTCTCCTAAACCCTAACTACATTGCTATAAATGCTCCGGCCAGATAAATAAAAACTAGTGGCTGATAGAATTAAGAAATGTACACATAAATGGGAGGTTTTAGAAAGTAACTATGGTTTCAATATAGCGAAAAGCTCCCCCATGCCAGATTGGTATGGTTTGATCAAACATCTGCTTGAAACTCTTTTCACGAAAATTGTACCTTACGATCTTCCCAAGAATTTGGATCACCATGAAGAAGGTTTCATCTTCTTCTCCACCCCTCACCAAATCTAAGACTTGAATAGCGTAATGATCAGGGAACCACCGAATTGCATTCATGCGATGCACATCAAGCTTCACCACATACTTAACGAACCACCCGGAATGATGATTCAACATCTCGTACACCTTCAGTTGGAAACTGCGCTGAACCCTCTTCACCAAATGCAGACAGCCTCTTGACTCCCCAAAGTAAACGGCCTTTTCTCCTTCATGATAGCGTCCAGTAAAATCTTGTGTGTCGATAGTAAAGTATGATGGCATCGTTTGCAATTCTTCTGTGTCGAGCTTGAAGTAGGAAGGATTACCATTGGAGTGAGCCCAGTGAATCGCTTGATGCCAATAAACCCCGGAGCTGAAGGACGTATAAGAATTCGCGGAGAAAGATTGATCTGAAATCTTCCATTTCTCTGTGTCAGATGAGTAGATTTGAATCTGAAAAAGCTTCTCATCACGTCTAATATACCGAATGCAAACAAGTTTGTAGCGAGGACAATCTGTTTGATGAAATGCCAGACCCATAAAACAGATAGTTCTACGAACATGTCCGCCTCCAGGAACCGATGGAATCAGAGCGAATTGCTTAGTGGTGGGATTGAATACGTAGTATCTACAATCGCGCTTAATCTTCTTGCTACAACAAAGAAGCAATCCATTACAGGATTGGAGGATTTTAATCCCACGAGGATCAGGATAGAAGTCGAGATTAAGAAAAGGAGGGTTTCTGTTCTCATCATCAAAAGGAACGTAGAAATCTTTAACAAACAAGCCACAAGAGATACAACCATTTTTATAAATGAGGGTGAAACACCGGTTAGTTAAAAGGGAACGCCAGTGTTTGGATACGGATTTGAATCGACGAACAGAGGCAAGAGGCAGCCGGAGAAAGATTTCGATTAGAAGATCATCGTTGATCTGCAGTTTCTTCACTTTGGATCTGGTGATAACCATTTTTGGAGTGGGTTGATACTTGATAGCCTTGAAGAAGATATATATTTAAGGTGTGTTTTCATGGTGAAAGGTTGCAACGGAAGCTGATATATAGTAAACAGAAAATAGATTTCAACGGATGCTTTGCCAAGATTTTCTATATGTTGACTTGAATTTGTCAAAAAATACAACGCCACTCAAAATCCCCTCAAAAAAACTCCCGAGGTGACACATGGCATTCTTCTAAACAACCAAAGTCCACGTGTCATTTTCTACATTTTCCTCATAAATTAGTTCCCGCCCAAATCATCCCTATAAATTAGACAAAAAAAATAGAAAGTCAAAATCAGAAAATCAAAAGTTAATATCTGTTTCGAAAAAAATCTGTCTCCATATTAAACGAAAAATTTGTTTTCATATTAAATGAAAAATTCAAACTAAAATATAATCACCTTGCTAGAAAATTGGCAATGGTTTTTTAAAAATAATTATGTTTCCCTATAAAACGAAAATCTATGTTTCTTATAAAACTTTTACCTCTCATACCTTCTTTGACGAATCCACATATTCTCCTACTAATCAACAATTATTTTTCCATATTATACCTGCATTAAAAATCATAAAAATCATACATTATCATCATCATATCGCATAAAATCAGGAATGATTTTTTATAAAATTTATCTGTTTCCGAAAATATCTGCATGATTATAGTAATTAAAAATCATTTAAACGAATTACAATATTCAATCACAATAGTGACTTCGGTTGTTTTATTCCACCTATAAATACAGAACCCCTAAATTCTTTTCAACCATTTGCATTTTCTCATTTACTTCGTATCTAAACTCTAAAACACTGCAGAGAAGGTAAAGCATCCCGAAACAACTATGCTGAATTTTTTTTGTTTATCATTCATTCGTATTCTTATTGTAATTTTGATTACATCTATATTCCTCTCCTTCGGTTATTTTCTGTATATGTTATCTTATACGCAAGCTATTCAATTTTTTTCCTACGTACAAACAAAATGAAGAAATCGATACACATGTCCTCCTTATAATAAAAACATATAGGAATATGTGTGTTCTGTTAGTCAGTAATTTGAATTTATATATATTTTTCATCAGATTTATATAATCTTGTGTTTTTTCAGTTAAATGGTTCAAATGCAATCTGAATTTGAATCATAATAATACCAACATATTGGAATATTTTTGTTAACTTATTCAGGGCTTTGAATTTACATATATTTTCACCAAATTTATATAATTTTGTGTTATGGTTACTCCCAATGTCACTTTCATTGCTGATGTAGATGTGTTGAGGGACGATTTAACTCTAAAAGTTTGTGTCATCAACTTGTGGAAACATATGTCATTCTACAACAAAGATGAAATTTGGTCCATTGAATTAATATTACTTGATGAACAGGTATGTTACACTCTACATATTAATTATTTCTTACAAATACACATTTAAGTACAATTACTTATATAGTTGATCATATATTACTTTTTTATAGGGGAGCAAGATCCAAGCTACTGTTTGGAAAAAGTTTCTGTATCGATTCAAAAATATATTAAAGGATGGGTCGACTTTTTACATCACGAGTCCAAGTTTTGCATCACAAAAGTCCGGTTGTTTCAAAATAACTCCTCAAGATCAAAAACTAACCTTTGTCCAAAATACTGTTCTCAAATGTGATTGTAGAGAATTAGGGGAAAAAAGCTTTCTTAAATTGAGGTTTGATAGAAGAAATTCCCAGATGAGAAGACAACCTAGGGTTAAACATTGGGGCATCCTTTTATTACTTGTCCAATGTTGTGGACGACTTTGTTAAATATTAAATCGTTTGATGCCTTCAATAAATATTTAATTTAATACATATTAAACTTATTTTGTCATGATAAGGTAATTCTCCTTATGGTTTGGTTTAGATCGGTGATTTTGGGATAATGTAACTACTAACTATGGATGAATTTGTTTCATCGTGGGTATTGGAATGTCATGTGTGATATCTTAATGTTCAATTACATTATGTGCATTGAATTGGCGAGACTTCATATTTAGGGTTTTCTCAATGAAGCAGCATTAACACCTTGTTACCCGAGTTGTAATAAAGAAAAGAAGAGAAAAAAAAAGAGTAAAGAGAGAAAAGAAAGGAGCAAAATTCGTCTTTTGTGTTCCCGAGTTGGAAAGAAATGAAAAGAAAATTAAACATTTTATTGTTTCTTTCCAAATCGGAAGGAAAGTGATCATTTCGTTTCCTTCCATTTCCTTTCTTTAATGAAACTCAGGAATATCAATTTTTTTTTTTTTACTTTTCTCTCACTTCCACCTATTTCTTTTCTTTTCTCTTTTTAAAATGAACTCGGGAGCGGAGTGTAAGTTTCAAAAAAGGAGAATTTAGTGCCTATATATATATATATATATATATATATATATATATATATATATATATATATATATATATATATATATATGTATATATTTGTGGGCCTTTAAAAAAATTAAGACATTGTCTTAAAAAACAAGGATGTGCAATATGAACCATTTGATCAAAGTTGGATGGTGTAGATTATCTTGTTGGTGATCCATGTGAATAGCTTACAACCAATCAGAATTAAGCGTGTAAAGTTTACAGCTGATAATACAGAATGTACAAATATTAAAGCTTATAGAAACACTCATGCTCATTCTCACACGGATGAAAGCTTTCACACACGTCGGCATAACACTCTCGTGCGCCCTAATTTATTATATACCCTAAACTCCTTTCCATTACCGCCATTATCTACATCAAAACAATAAATACCCCCATTCCTCACCATCACCACGACCCACCACAACCATCTCTACGAGCTACCCTCATCACCACCACCTGTGCTATCCTCTGCTCGCCAAGGTCACCATTGCTCGCCGTCAGCGATCCTCCATCGTTTTCTTCCCTTTGGTTATGTTTTGTTTGTTTAGACACTGCCACAACCACATCAAGGAATAACCCTTCTGACGGTAGCTACTGCATCCCGCCGACCTCCCCTCTCACCTTAAAAATCCAACGGTAAATCTTAACCCGCCTACATTTTTTTTTGTGACGTTTAGTGTCATTTGTGTGTGTGCCATTTGCTGTCATTTTGTGATGTTTGGTGCCATATGTTGCTTTATGTTATGAAAAACCACTATCGAGGTTTCTCTTTACATTTTCTTTTTATATCTCTATGTAAATCCAGATTTGAACAACGACCGTTTTTTGTGGTTTTGATATAGATTTGATAATGCTTTCATTTATATGGTGTTGATATCGTTTTTATATCTGAATATGCAGGAAAAATAGAATATATGGGAAAGGCAGATGAGATGAAGCGAAAATGAAATCAATACGGTGTGAGTACAATTTTGATTGTACGATTTAGGTTTTATTTACGACGAATGCATGCTTAAACCCAGAAAAGTACAAGGGGTTTGAAGTGAATATGTGTTGGAAGGAGAGTTCTGGGCTTGGTTTTGCTTTAGGCTTGGGTTTGGGGTTTTTGCTCCACTTTGGCTGGAAGATCATACACATATCTGTAAATACCAAATCTATAACAATTTGATTATTATTATTATTATTTTTTAATATTCCCATTACTAACTGTTATTCATATTGTGCAGCATATGTTATAGATTAATGGAACCATGTTTAAGATACACACAAATGTTTCGTTATTATTTGGTTATTCATTTTCTGATTTTTGGTTTCAGATCTATGTGGTATATATGTGGAGCTATTAAAAAATAAACAAATTTATCACATTTTGGATAGATGGAATAAGAAGTATTTATGTTGTGGTTAGTAAATTTTGATCTTGGGGTTGTGATTAATTATTGGATTTTTTTAATGTATTTTCATGTGTTATTTTAGTTTCGATTATACATTTGCACGAATCTGTATGAGATTTTTTTGTTTCTGCTTAGTTCTCTTAATTTGAATTCAAATACCTAGCATCATTTTGTATAATTATGTAATTGTTTTTACTAAGCTCCATAGTTCGTAGCATTTCTAATTATTGAAGCCATAGTTTTTCATTATTAATTGAGAGTTATGACATAAAATATTAACAAAAAGATAATAATATTTTTTAATTATTGTTTATGAGATACTAATGTGTTTATTATAAAACGAATAGTCATATCGGATATTTATTTTAGATGAGTCAAATCTATCTTCCTAGGGTAAAGGTGTATATGATTACTTTATTGAAAATATGTTAGATTAAATAGTCCTTCCAAGAAAATCTTTTTGATGGATTTTGTTGTTAAAAATTATAACACGGCCTTTAACTTTCTATAATATAAAAAACATAAGTAATTGACATTCTTTGGCATAAGTGAGACGTCAAATTTTTCTATCAATTCTTTGGCAGTCAAAATTTCTATTGATTATTTGACACGTCAATTTCTATTGATTATTTGGCATTAGTGAGACGTCAAATTTTCTATTGATTCTTTGGCATCAGTAAAACCTCAAATTTGCTATTCAATAATCTTTTGAATATATTTTCTATTCAATCGTCTTATAAAATATTAAATAACTAAGATAACAATTTGACATAATTTCACAAGTTCTAGATATTAAATTTAGTTTATTTATTTAAGTTTTCTACCTCATATTTTCATTAACGTCAAATTTGAAATTATATCTTACTTTTTTATATTAAAGTTGGATGGTAAATCATTTCTTATAATACACATGGTGATGGGAGGCCACCAAACCCGCCTCACAAGAGTATATATATATATATATATATATATATATATATATATATATATATATATATATATATATATATATATATATATATATATATATATATATATATATATATATATATATATATATATATATATATAAAAGTGCAATTCATGTCTTAAACTATTTAAACTTTATTTCATCTCTAAAAATCTAAATAGATGATGAGCTTTTAACATAATATTTTTTTAATATAAGTTAATCATTTATTCGTAAGTATTTTATAGATGATAGTTTTTGAACTTTTATGCTAACATATAAATCCAAAAAACTAGAAATATTATTTGTAGTTGACTTAGAAATATAATAAAAAATATATTTTCTAAAAAGTATAATATAATATTTATGATGTATTTTTATAAATATCATAATTATACTATCAATGTAGAAATATATTAAAAATAGACATTTTCACGTATATTAAAAGTGGTTTTTGTAAACATACGTAATTTGGTTGTTTCTAATGACTATAGTTATAAAAGAAACAATGTAAAGGTTGACATTAAGTTTTTCTTTAAAATCTATTTAAATCATAGATGTTTTTATAAGCTTTTTTCAATAAATTTATGAACATATAGAGAATTTTAAAAACTTCTTGCGATCTCTACGGGAATATGGGATAGACAATAGTAACTTAAAGCGAAGTACAACATTTTTTTTAAGATCAGGAAAAAAGATAAGAATAGACAAATAATAAAATAAAAAGTAAATTACACGATGGTCCTTGTCGTATGTGTTAGTTTGCGCGTTTGGTCTTTAAATTATGTTTTTAACTTGAAAAGTCATTACAATTCGATTTCGTTGCGCCTTTGGTCTCTAACTTAATCATCCACCGGATAACCAAAATGTAAATACATTAGTTTCAAATAACCGACAACTCATATATAATATCTAACAGTATTATTGTTATCTTAAAACTAATAAAAGAAATAGTATACAAACTAACATAAGCCAATAACACTTTCATATGATGCATTTCATAGATGACTTTCATATTAAAACTAAGGGAATAAGATCATCACTGAAAACAAAGTATTCACCAAATGAAAACATTTGACGTACGTGGAAGGGAAAACTAATCGTCTCTCGAATATTAACCAGAGGTAGAGAAAACATATATTCAAATACTCGCCAATAAAAAATGAATCGCTGCTCAGAACTGTTCAATGTAAAAGAGTATTCGCCGACGCTGCATCGCGCGGGTACACTACTAGTGTGTGTGTATATATATATATATATATATATATATATATATATATATAACTGTGACGTAGATATAATAAACTTATACAGATTGAATATGAAAGACTTGATTATAGAAAGGAAAAAGAAAGGAAATGCATACAAGTAAGAGCATGTACATCGAAGCAAGAAAAAAACTATAAACATCTAATGGTTACTTCGTTACATTGGTCGCATTTGCGGCCTTGATAGTAAAGAAGGTCTGAACCACGGTAAGTGCAAACAGGACAAGTGCACCAATTAGAGCAATTACATTCCAGGGATTATTGAAATATTTACCCTTCAAACCTGCAAGAGTATTGGGCCAGTAACTATTATAGTATGCATCCATATCTTTCCACTGTTGATCATAAAAGAAATCTGGGATGCTAACAAATTTGACTAATCCATTTATCATATTTGCAGCATTCTCGTTCGAACTCGAAAGATTTGTAAGGACTTTTGATTTTACCAAAATGGCAACATCCTCCGGAGTATCGATTAGCATATCCATGGCATAAACATATGATGTAACATATTTATTAACATCAGAAAACTGCTCGTATATAAGGAGGTTCCGAAGAACCAATTCACTCATATCATGAATACAAACTATTGGCATCCTAAGCGTAGGCCATTGTAACCATGAAAACGAGGGAATGGCTGTGAAAATTGGGAACCATGAAAAAAAAAAGATGAGGGTAATTCCAGTTTTAAAGCCATTGCCCAATTCTCATCTTCATTAGGCTTGAACTTCATCCCTGCCCTATGCAATTCCACAGCTGTGTGGCCTTTTGGATTTGCTTCGACAAACACTGATGGCATCGGTTCCACAGGCTGGTAATATTTGTGTACAAAGTGAAGAAGATGATCAGTAGTGGAATCTAGGCTGACATTGGGTACTACAGAATTTGATTCAAAGACTTTGTAGTATCCTAGAAGTACGCTAATATGCTGGGTAAATGAGGAGTTGATGTGCATTCTTCCAGATGCTACAATAGTACAGTCAAATATGATTTTAAGAACAAAAAACGGGATTTGGTTTTCTATCAGTAACAGGTCATAAACGATCAATGGAGTAATCATCATGTTACACCCGGATGATTTTTCTGATTCATTCTGAATGAACTCAAGTATGAAACAACCATCTATTACCATCATCTTCGCAAGTTCAAGATCGTTGTAGGTCACTGATCTTCCATAACATTCCTTGATTGTTTCTATTGATTGAATCACCTTCTCAACACATGTTCGCAGTGTTTGCTTTGGCACAGTACCTAGTCGACGCAACCAATTATGTAAATAAGTCTGTTTTTGAATCTCAAATCCTTGCAAATGTTCGTCATGTCTGTGAAGAGGCCCAATAGACACCACCTTCGGATTGAAACAAGTTGGGCTGAGATCTCGGATTACACTAGGAACCATGTAAATCGATGGTGGCACTTGTTTGCCTAGAACCTCTCCGTTTTCTTTACAATCAAGTAGAAATTTAACAGTGTTCCCAATGTTATCTACTTCTCCGGACTCCACATTAGCATCTTCCATTCAGAATGTTAGCTTATAAATTTCGTCTGCAACAATTAGATAGGAGAAAATGATTAGATGATAACAAATGTGATTAAAACAAACCACATAAAAAAGATGCAACTTCTAAAAATAGTGGGGTTACCTTCTTCGTGAATCGCTTCAATTGTTTGGTTTTGTAATGAAAGTGTCAAGCCTTAAATGCAAATCCTAAGCTTTGATCGAGTGGATGTATTATTTAGTGCATATAATTTTTAGTTGAACCCATGTATTGATTATGCTTTTTGACATTCTATTTTTAGTACTTAAAAAATCTCTATCTTAATATAAACAATATTAAATATAATCTTAAAGTATTTCACTATGTAATAAGTCATGATTTCCGGAAGTCAACTTTAACATAGGTTCTTGTTTTATTTGAAAATATTATATTTGTAATGTTGAAAAACCATATAGCAAATATATCTAATATGGTTGGTCCAAACATATTTTAGGTATAAGGCGGAAAAAAAAAGGATCATTTCATAAAAATAAAAAAAATTACCTCATGTATAAGGCCACCCGTAATGCACTTCACGACCAGGGGTCGTGGACGGCTTCCAAGTCAGCCACCATGAGAAACCACGAACCACCCAAACAATCTGGCTACTCTCCACGACCACGAAGAGAAAGAAAGAAGAGTAGAGAAGAAGAAGTCTGAGAGAGGAGAAGAGAATGATTGAGCATTCTCCTTCGTCCGCCCACCACAACCGACAACGAAGACGAAGGATAACAGGGTCTAGGGGTGGTGTGCACGAACCACTCTCGTTGCCACGTCAACCACGAAACCTCTCGTGGTCGGTATACTAGAAGGCCTAATCATAAAAGTAACACGAATAAATGTGAGTTTACATCTTTATAACTACATTTTGAGCCATTTACATAAATAACCACCGTCCTATATGGGTCCATTTGGAACTTGTTTTGGACTAATTTTATGTTTTATCAAAAATACATTTTCTAAAAAAAACTATAATTTGGATTTCATAGCATTTTGTACCAAAAAAAAAAAACAACTATTTCGAAATTCGATAAACAAGTTTAAATTCCGCTAAGACAAAATTGTAGAAATGGTCCCTGTGGTTTGCCGATTTCTTTAGGTAAGGTTCAAAAAATAGTTTCCTCGCAAAAAAGGTCCTTATTTGGTGTTTGAGTTGTGGATTTGGTCTCGAAAACTAACATCCGTTAGTTTCAGTCTGTTAGTGTGCTTAAATGACTTTTTTACCCTTTATTTTTATTTTTATTAATTATTGATTATATTTCCTTTTTTTTATAAATTATTAATAATAAAAGACAAAAGAACACACACACTCTCTCTCTCTCTCTCTCTCTCTCTCTCTCTCTCTCTCTCTTCTGGTGATATAAAACACCATTTGCGGCCTCTTATATCTCCTCATCTTCCTCACACTCACCTTTACCTCCTTTCACATACTTTTCATCTCATCACTTCTGTTCTACTCTACTTCCATTCACCTGTACAACCAAAGGGGGAAAACTCCTTCTCAAATCCTAATTTGCTCCACCGTGGATAAGTGTGGCTAGAGATGATGATCACTCCCACTAGTTATCTAACAATTGCCGCCGCCCACGGATGATGATTGAACAGTGGAACAACCCAGATCCCTAAACAACCACATCCTCATTCTCCTGCCGGTCAGACCCTCACCTACCGATAGCAAAGCACCACCATCACTAATGCAGTTTTATGACCACCAACCACCGTCATTGCTACTCTGTCTCTCTCACAATTCTACCCGATATAAGCCTCAACATCATCTTGAAGATGTCGTACACTTGCAACATCTGCAACACCAAGAAGGTCGCCATCTCTAAGAGGCAAACACAAATCTGGAGTTTAGATTCCCATCAGGCATCTACCCTAACTGTCAAGAACCTTTAGGGGGTGTTTGGCTAAGTTTTTTAAAACAACTTATTAGGTTCCACACCACTATAAATTAAAAAAGTGTTTGGATGAAAATAACTTATTCCGGTGGGGAACCTCTAATAAGTCATTTTTTCATAAGTTACCCTATACTTACTTATTAACTTTGTAACACCCATAAAATTCAATCCAATTTAAAACTTTTTTAAATATTTAAAACCATTAAGTTATTACAATTTGTTTTCAAAATAGTTTAAGCATCAGAGTATCCCCAGAATCAAATCATAAAATCATGAGATACGAGGAGCTGTACGAACACGCCTTCGCCTTCCCGTGATCATCAGAAGTACCTAAAACAATAATCGATAAATGTAAGCTCGAAGTCTTAGTGAGTTACCCCTAAAATACCAACGTTATACATATATAACCATATTATATAAACATATAAGCAAACAACATGCATAATGAGCCATCGGTTAGACTAGACTAACTCCCGGTCCTCAGTCTATCTGTACCGCTCTCTGAGCCCTCGGGGCCTTCAGCCTATCCGGACCGTTCACTTGGCCTTCGACTTGACTAAATTTTCCCGGCCCGGGCCTGCAGTCTACTCGGTCCACCCAGGGTGTCTTGGCCTACTGCACACAGTAGGACCTGCCTCAACCCTTTCTCCAAACCAACAAACATGTGCACATACATATAAACAAGTAAACATGCAGATCTAACAGATCACTAATCATGGCAACCATCCTATAACCAGGATATCGATCTAACCGATCACTAACATACCAACCATTATATAACTAGGATACTGATCTAACCGATCTCTAACATAGCAACCATCCTATAACAAGGATATATATCATAAAGCGTAACGTGTAATAAACCCGTATATATATATATATATATATATATATATATATATATATATATATATATATATATATATATAACAACTTTTATTATATAGTACCATAAAAAATATGTATAATTTTTTTTTCAATTAAAGCTTACCTATATCGGGTGCAATTATGAAAGCTCTTGTATATTGAAAATAATTTATTCATCTGTAAAACCCACTTTTTTTTAACAACATCCACACAAATTGATCTTCAGACTAATACAACTAACACATGGTATTAGTTTAACGCAAACAAATTTAGAAATTAATTTAACTATATCAAAAAGAAAATTAAAAAAATATGTTCTTTGTATTCCGGACTGTTACTACCATTTCGACCTATCATTCTGGAAATGATCTTCGTATTCCGAATTGCGTTTTTCGTATGTCAGACTATTAGTACTATCACAGAATCACTTGTAACGGGTAAGCTGGACTTATAACCTCTCTAGGGAGTGGTAGTAACACATTTGAAGGTACTTATATGGTTATTATATGGCTAAAATTAAAAATAACTACAAAAATTAAGTTAATCCAGACTTGTTTCTCGTATTTCAGAATTGTTCTACATATTCTATTCTGACATAAAGAAAATTGTAAACTAAAATGCAAGTAAAACAACTTTGCAGACAATCCAAGATACAGATTGCCTACACACACATTCTGGGCACATATTCCGAACACAATTTTCGGACACACATTACTTTGTTAAAACATATCACTATTAATATGCATCTATTATACATCGTAAACAAAGTACATTAACAACATAAAAAACTCGAGAATGAGTGCATTTTAAATTTGGTGTTTGTTATTATGAAGAAGATTGCTACGTTTGTTCGAATATTAACCCATTTTTAGAGGCCCGAATTTCTCACTCCCAGATAAAATGTATGATGACATTTTTCAAGCTATGAAGGACGCTGAAAAACCAATGTAAGGGACTTTGAAATGAGTCATAAACTCAATCAACGTTCACACAATCTAGTGGAACGCATAAATAAAAGAAGAAAATTGGGTAGTTAAAACTCGGAAAAAGTCAAAGAAACTTAGAAGTGGATTCGAGATGCAAATGTGGAGATTGAGAAGTAGATTCGAGATGCAAATGTAGAGATTGATAAGGTTTTGGACAGAACAAAACTGTCTTACTTATATTTTTATAATTAGAGGAGATTTTATCATCCGCCAACAAATATGTATCCCTTACGTTTTTCTAATTTGTGGATACCAATTAAATATATAATAGCTTTTGTAACGATCATTTAACTAATGTGAATGAAAATCACTTCCATTTAAAAAAAATACCATTTCTTTTTCATAATTAAATTTAGAATGACATTACATTAGCAAATATTAGAGTTCATTCCATGAAAACGGGGAACTTGCATGCAGTACAAACTAGCAATGTCTACATAATTTTCAAACAATTCGATGCAAATCTAAATCAGACAGAAAAAAATACGCAAAAAACAATCTAACAACATTTAATATATAGTACCATAAAAAATATGTATAACAATTTTTTCAATTAAAATTTACATTTATCGAACGCAATTCTGAAAGCTTCTGTATATGGAAAATAATTTATTCATCTCTAAAACCCATGTTTTAACATCAATACAAATTGATCTTCGAACTAATACACAAATTGATCTTTGTATTTCAGACTGTTACTACCATTCCAACCTATCATTCTGGAAATGATCTTCATGTTCCGAGTTGTGTTTTTCATATGTCAGACTGTTAGTACCATCACAGAATCACTTGTAATGGGTAATATGGACTTATAACCTTTCTAAGGAGTGGTAGTAACACATTTTAAGGTACATATACTTGTTTCTCGTATCCCAGAATTGTTCTACAGATTCCGACATAAAGAAAATTGTAAACTAAAATGCAAGCAAATTAAACAATAGAACTCACCCGGTTTGTTGATTCCATGGTAGATAGACTTAAAAATATGTGTTCGAAATTTTGATAGCAACAGTTCGGAATTTCAGATTCTGGAATGTTTATTCCTGTTTTTTTTTTTTTTTGGTATGGGCCCATATATATAACATTGGGTTACAGTAGTGAGCTTGACCCGTTTTGGTTTGCATCCATCCCAAAGAGAGTGGTTACTTTAAAAAAAAAATATGCTTATTATTTTTAAAAACATCCAAAAATGTGGTTAGAATACTTAATTTCCCTAAATTAAATATTGAATACCACAAACATAATGTAAGGCACATAAAACACACAAAAAAATAAAAAATAAATAACAAAAATAAAAAATAAAAACATAATGTTTCTATTTCATTCTTTTAACAATGTATGGCACATAATGTAAGGCACATAACCATTTGTTAGCTATTTTCACACCAAAAAAACCATTTGAATGCTACAATCCATATGGTTAGGGTAGGGCTAGAGTTATTTGAGATGGTGAATGAAGATTACTGAAATGGTCTTCATCTATCAATAATATGCCAAATGGATCTGTTATTTATCTTTATGTTTGTTTATATCAGACATTTTCATTCAATACACGATAGTACATCAAGAACTATTGGGATTCAAAGCATTTGTGACTTGAGATCACAACAACCGGAGAAAGCTCCAAATTTCAAGGCCAGACCTTTAAACTATACCTCAAGAATTTCATTTTGCAATTGATGAAAGAATTCCACCACGAATAACAACCAATGGTGTTGATTTGTTTAACAAGGTCTGTGAGGAGAAAACATATATGATATACCCCTATGTTGTTGTTCTCTTTTCTTTCTCCAACCAAAAGATCATTATTCTGTTCTTTTGGACACATGCAAAATTTTAAATTAAGATTCTACACTAGACAACATCAATTACAAAAACAGAAACATCAATTACTATCAGATCATTTTAGTTTATTAAAATCAAGCATCCACATCCAAAGAAGCTCAAATAAACAACAATGGCATTGGATCATCAAGAACACTTGCTGATAAATAAGAAGGCCTTTCGCATGGCTACCATGACACAATAACGCAATATATTGTTCTAAATATATTTTGTTATAAGAAAGTGATACCCGACTACATTTTTATCAACCTCTCAACAGTTTGACACCATTGAAATTGGAATTTGGTTATCCCATGGCAATTTCGTTACCAATAAAATCAACGTAGATAAACTTTTTTATTATTAATAGTAATGAAGCAATATCAGTTTGCTATTTTTCACACAATTTGTAATCTTAATGAAACAATAATCAATAAATTTACATAAAATTGGACATTTTAGAAGGAAACTATGGTTTCAATATAACGATGAACTTCAGAATGCTCAATTGGTCCATCGATAACGTAGCTCAGATCATATTTCTGCTTTTTTTTAAGAAGCAGCCAGAGATCATATACCTGCTTACAGCTCTTGTTAGCAACATTGTACCTTATGATTTTACTCCCTGGAATCATGAACACCATGAATGTTTCATCTTCTTCTTCGCCTCTCACCACATCTAACACCTGAAATTTATAAAAACGTGTACTGATCTCAGGGTAAGAGTTCAGAAGCTCATCAAGATCCAATCGATACTTAACAAACCACCCTGAACGATCGTTCAACATCTCGTACACGATCAGATGCAAATGGGTCTCACTGCGATCGGCCTTCACCACCAAATGCAGATGGCCTCGTGACTCCCCGAAGTAAAGCCGCATTGCTCCATGTGGACCACCTCCCAAAGATTCCACTGCCGCCTCAATCGGAAATGACAGCGATTGCAACTCTTCTGTGTCGATCTTAAAGTACAATGGATTAGCAGAGAAGGGAGCCCAGTAAATTGCTTGATTCCAATAAACTCCCGAGCCTATGGATTCATAATAAGGTGCAGAGAAAGAGAACGATTCATCTGAAATCTTCCATTTCCTTGCATCCGATGAGTAGATTTGAATCTGAAACAGCTTCTCATCATGCTGAGCATGATGAAAGCAAACAACTTTGTAGTGAACACAATCTGTTTGATGAAATGCCAGACCCATAAAAGTGATAGTGTTACGAACATTCCTACCTCCAGGAATAGATGGGATGAACGCAATCTGCTTGGTCGTGGGATTGAATACATAATATTTACGTTCTTGGATCCTCTGCATTGTACAGCAAAGTAGTAATCCATTACAAGATTGCACGATTCTAATACCACAAGCATGAGGATAGATTTCGAGAGGAACAATTTGGTTGTCAACATCAAATGGAATATAAGTGTTGTGAATATAAAATCCAGGTGAGATGGAGACATTTTTATACAATAGGGTGAAAGGTCGTTGACTCAAAAGGGAACGCCAGTGTTTGGATACAGATTTGAATCGAACAACAGAGATAACAGGCAGCCGGAGAAGGATTTCAATTAAAAGATCATCATTGGAACCTATCAAAGCTCCAGACGGGTTTCGGGTTCTATTGGTTGTGGGGCTGGTGTTCACCATTTTTTGAGTGGGTTGAAAGCCTCGAAGAAGAGGTCTACTTAAGGCATGTGTTTTCATTTTGAAAGATTGCAAGAGAAGTTAATAGTAAAGAAGAGAAGGTTGCCATGGAAGCTTTGCCCAAGATTCTCTTGATGTTGACTTGAATTTGTCAAAACTTTAAAGGCATCTCAACGACTTAATCAAAATAAATAAAAAAGGGAAAAAGAAGTTGAGATGGTATAAACTAATACGAAGTTGGCCCATATGTTGTAATTGTTTTTAAATCCTAAAGATTATTAGTTTTTTTCAAATTAGTCGTTGTTTCATGGTTTCGGTAAGGGTTTTTGTTTTCATGATGAAAGATTGCAACAAAAGTTGATATTAACCAAGATTCCAATGGAAGCTTTACCCAAGGTTTTCTTGATGTTGACCTAAATTCTTCTGTTGTAGTTTGAAGAACTCTCTAGCATTAATATCAACAAGAAATCATTAAAATGCTATAATTTAACCATGGTTGTTAAGATCCTCATAATATATTACAATCTTAAGATCTTAAGAGTGAAAACATCTCGATCAAAGTACAATCTATCTGACATAAGATCTATTTGGGTCTTAAGTTCCCGACTAGGATATAAGATCTTAACTTGACCGGATCACACCTCAGGAGGCGGATCTAAAGAGAGTTGAGTGGAGGCAGGTGCCCCCAATGGTTGCAAACGTATTAATGAGATTGCATTCAAATTTCTTTTTTTTAGATGCTTAGCGGATATTTGTAATATCCCAAAAGTAAGACCCAATTTTTTTTTTTTTTTTTTCATTTTTGAATTAATAAAACGAGTATCCCAAAAACATCATCATAAAAATCCAAGTAAAACAAATGTATCAATCATCACATCATATCAGAGTAAATCAAGAAAATGTGGAACGATGTAGTGTGTGCTCTGCAGTTATCCCGAGTTCTTCCCTTTGAAACTAGAAATACCTGAAACATAAACCGAAAACCGTAAACACAAAGCTTAGTGAGTTCCCCAAGATACCACATACCATACATAATAAACACATAATGAGCCCCGCTCGTCATTGGGCCCAATCGGTATACAGACCGGGCCCCGCAAGGCATATATATAAACAAATAATATATAAACATATACACATGCAATAATCACAAAGATACATAGCTTACAAAATGGTCATCAGACCCCGACATATAATCATATGAGTATATAACACATACAAGAGTCACGAAGACATCTAGCATCCTAACATAACAAAATCATGGGACGGTATTTGTGCCTTCGACCCACTAAACTATCACACCCCGACTGTCAGCGGAAACACCGGGTAGTGTAACGTCATTTTTCGTATCACAGTTATATAACATACATTGAACAATACTTAAAGAACATACCTTTATTGATGATTGAAAGTTACATTATTGTTTTTCCTAGTATTTATTACATAATATCCGACTATGACATGCTTCTTAAAGAACAGAAAGATACTAGTAAAACTTCTCCTGTTTGAATACATACCTACTTTTCAAGTTCCTAAAAACACATACATTTTAAAATACGTCAACATAAAGTTGGTGAGTCCACAGGTTTTGACTCCATAAAATAATACATTTTTACACATTCAAAAGTATAGTTTTGAAAGTATCATTTTGACTCTCCAACATTAGGTATAATTGTATACTTATCAATTAAGTGTTATACCAAAATATTTCTTAATCTTAAGGTATAAGTAGGGGAAAACTTATACTTAACATTAATACTTGTATACGACAAGGTATAATGTTTCTACAATTTGCTACCATGAGCCTGTAACCGTTGCTATGACATAATACATCTGATAGAACAATACACTCATGATTTACCATGAGAACAAATACACTCATGATTTAACAAGAGAAACAACACCGTACGCTTCATCGACACCGGAACAATAACAAATAAAAGGATAGCTCATCACTTGTTTTTGGTTGACTGTAGCTAATAGTGACAAGTGGGGTGGTCAGCCCGTAGACTAGTTATACATGACTTCCTCACTCACACGGGATTAACGGTTACAGTTCAGAGTATTTCCACTAACATCCCCAATCTTAGTTGATGAATACAATTACTCATGTAGACTTCGATGGCTTCCTATAGCTCTAACAACAAAAGCATGTTCATGTCTAAAACCTTAAGTTACTAGACTTTGCTTTTAAACATTACTCCTAACTTCATAATATTTAGGCAGTATAACAGCTATATCTTGAAGTAAAAACCAGGTTTTATCTTGACCTAAAACCAATAATAACAACATATAACGTTTCTAGTTTTATCTTGACATAAAACTAACAATAACAACATATCCAGTTTTATCTTGACATAAAACTAATAATAACAGCATATAACATATCTAGTTTTATCTTTACATAAAACTATTAATTGCAACATACTATATAACTTAACATATAAAACTTCCAAATATAACTTCGGAACTATATCGCACACAAAATAGAATCCTAAGTATAACTCAAGATCTACATTAATATACTACTATAACAATAGCATGTTAACAACGTTACGATAGTTTTATATTTTCAGATATGAAATAACTATATCCTGGTTATTATAACTACCTATCTTGATACTAATATACTATCATATAATAATAACATTTGTACAATGACTAACATGCGTTTTCCCCCCGAAATATTAGAAAGTGGGGCCGTGAAACTCACCTTAGTAGCGTGATTTTTATGATATCTAAGCGAAACAGTCAGCGTGCGAGTTCGCCGGGGCTCGGGATGCAAGAGGGCCTCAGCAAGTAAGAGAGGAAGAAGAGAAATGGTGTAAGGAAGTGAATGGGTCGATCTTGCTATCTATAGTAGGATTTTATGACACTCACGTCGTGAGTGTCATAAGACTCACATCGTGAGTGTCATAAGACTCACATCGTGAGTCTGCCTGATTCACTTCGTAGACTTGCCATTTGTGTACCTAGCTTCGCAAGGTGGCCATGTGACTCCTCACGTCGTGAGTGTCATAAAACTCACGTCGTGAATTTTGGATCCTATCCTCTCGCAGCTTTTAGATTCCGAATTATGACAGAATGACTCCTCACGTCGTGAGTGTCATAAAACTCAAGTCGTGAATTGGATCTTATCCTCTCGCAGCTTCTAGATTCTGAATTATGACAGAATCTAGTTTAGGGTTTTTAAAAGCTAAATCTTCGGAAAGCCATAACTTTTGCGTACGAACTCCGTTTTTGACGTTCTTTATATGCACGCGTAGGTATTTATGAGTACTACAAATCTCTTTTAGACTTAAATAGCTAATTTTAAGTCTATTTTAAATTCCTCTTATTATAGAGATTTATAGTGTTCGGTTTATCATAACTTCTTCATGCGAAGTCAGATTCAGATGTCCTCTATATGTTTGGAATCGTATGGACGTATACTTTGTGTTGTATCAGAAAGGAAGTTCATATTTGTATTAGAATTTATCATGAACTACATAACATTCTTACCACATTACTAGGTTAACATAATCACATTACATGATTGGCATAATCACATGTGATTATCTATTGACCTATTTTGACTAGTGTTACATAAACACAGTAAGGAAACTCATCTCGCACTGTTGAATCACACTGATAAATCTCTGGTTGCTGGTCTAACAAATCCCCAAGCTATTAATACCAAATAACATCCAATTAAAAATTGGATTCCAATCCATAACGATCAGTCCAAAATTAGGATAAAAAGACCATTTTACTCCTTACCTAGTTTGGTTCAAGACTAAGTCCCAAATCTACAATCCAAAAGGCCCAATCACCAAAATAATCATCCAAGGCCCAATCATGGCCCAATTTTCCAAATTAGACCAAATCCCTTTCATAGACCTTTTTTAAGAGAACTCTAAACATACATCATCCTAAAACTTGATGGCCTAACAAGGCCCTAAGCATGGTTGAAAAAAATCGTTCTGCGGTAGCTCGATGGTTGATTGGGGTCAAGCGATTAATCTATTTGGTGGGGATTAATCGGAGACCCTAAATTACTAATAAAAATATTTTAAAATTTAATATATCCTAAGAAAATTAGTATTTGAATATTTAAAATTTTGAAACTTTGAAACTTTTAAATATTTGGTATAATATTTGAAATTTTGAATATTTAAAATTTTAAAATTTTAAAATTTTGTTAATTTCTGTATAATATTTGAAATTTTGAAAATTTTGAAAATTTTCCCGCCTAGGAGCACCAAGGACCGCCGAAGACCGCCGAGACCGAGTATAACCAATTTCCGCCAAACACCCCTAATCGTAATTAGTTGCAGACCGCTAAGCTCCTAGGCGCCGCCTAGGCCGATATTTACAACATTGGCCCTAAGCATCTAAGCCCAAAATATGGCCTAAACTGAAGACCTAAGATTTTGAGGCCCAACCTACTGAGTATACGGAGCATACTTAGCTCGTACGCGTAGCATACTCACCTTAGGGCTTGTACGCTAAGTGTACCTGCTTGTACGCCTAACGCACTCCCTCATTCAGCCAACTTTCATTTCCAACTCATAATCCATTAAGACTTCACTCCAAAACTTGGATCTGACTTCCTTGAGATGGTTTATCATGTAAAATTGCTAACTTTACATGCATGCATGGTTCAATGAAGCTCTTAAAGCTCAAAAGGACTTAATATATAACTTAATGCATGCCTGAGACTATAAACACCATAAATTTTGCACATTTAAGCTTAAGAAACTCATAATATGCCCAGATCTAAAAGGATAAGCCCCACAAATGACTTAACTCATCAAACTAACCCAAAAGGGACCAAAAGCATAAAAACCACGACATGAAGAGATCTAATCATACAAGGATCAAGTTTGGGACTTTATACCTCAAAAGTCACCAATAGATGGAGCTAAATTTGGATCTAAGCTTCCATCCTAAGCATGAGTTCACCAACTTCTTCTTTCACTTCAAGGAGAATAAACAACCAAAATCAAAACCAAGGCTCCAGAACA